TATATATATATATTTGAAGAAATCATCGACATCTTCGACGATTTTAATTCATTGTTTATTTTCAGAAATCGATCCCTGCGATGCAAACCCGTGTCAGGAGGACAACACGTACTGCTACAAACTCCCACCCACGGAGGAAGAACCTTCGCCTTACACATGCATCCGTGAGTTAACTCTATTAGAACGGGGCGGACTAATACAATGGTAATGTCCAGTCGGCAATGTTACAGCACATTAAAAAAAAAATATAGTAGAGGGTTTTACGGCGCTTGCAACTGCATAAGGTCATATGAGCGCCAAGTGGTGAGTGTCAACAGAGAAATCTTTACAGGGAATCAGACTTACTCTGCTCACCTCTTTAGCTTCAACAGCACAAGTTCTGCTCCAACTATAAAGGCACCCCGGAAATAGCAGGTCTCAAGTGTGACAAACATGCAAAAGAAGTAGAGGAAAATGACAATAGTAAGGATTAGGAAAGAAAAAGCAGCAGTTCCCTGTTGTAGATTAGGCAGAGTTATGAGCGGACATGAATCAGCCCATTTACAATTCTACTGTGCTTGAACGAGAAATGTCCCCCCTTTGGGAATGGTCTAAAGACACTACAGTCAGTGGCACTGCCCCGGGGGGTAACAGCACATTTTGAGGCGTCATACACACTTGGGAAACATGCATTTGCTTAGATAATGTATACCGTGTCCTTGGTTTTCTTTGCCTTTTAAAGTCTGACATTAAGAAGACAGAATTTAAAAATCTGCATGCATGGTGCAGTTAGGTCTCTTCCTTTTTTCAAGCGTTGTCGAATACCCAGATCGCCGGCCCTCAACGAATTAATCGTACACTCATTGAGTCTTAGAATACTGTCTCACATCATAATCCGACTCATAACATTATGTTATTCTCAATGCATACTCAATAAATGATGTCCACTTTGGAACTTCTTTAGACGAAAAAATGGTGAATTTTTTTAAATTTAAAAGCTAGAGAAAAACAAAAACAATTGAAGCGATCTGAAAAACATCAGGAGCCTAAGGCACATTGAAGTCTTTTTAAGAAAAAAACCTCATTTCTCTCTGTATTTATCACAGCTGAAAGTTACCTATCACCAGGTCTCTCACTGCAATTTATTACCTTTGAAGTTTACCTATCAGTTCCTCATGTATTGTATTTAAGGTTACCTATCATCACATCTCCCACTATAATGTATAACCATAGCTGACCTTTACCTATCACCACATCTCCCACTATCATGTATGACCACAGTTAACGGTTACCTGTCACCACATCATTCAAAGTATTTATCACAGCTGAATGTTACCTGTCATCACATGTCTCACGATGATATATGACCACAGTTGAAGGTTGCCTTTCACCACATCTCTCTCACTATGTTGGCCACAGATGAAGATTATCTATTACCACAATTCTCACTATAATATACAACCACAGTTGACGGTCATCTATCACCACATCGCTACCTCAGAATTACAAAGTTTAAGTTATATCTGACATTTCTGGCCGTTGTGGGTTACTAAGACCAAATGATGTCTGCTCTATCAAAATCGTAAGAATATTCGAGCTGTTATCAAGACATTCAAAGAATTGCATTCGAAAAATCTTGATTATATTGTGAAACTCACAAATTTTGACGTCAAAATTTCTCAAAACTAGGCGTTAAGCAGATAGAACTTTGTAATTCTGAGGTAACGACATGTCTCACTATTATACGACGACAGTTTACGGTTACCTATCACCACATCTTTCTTTGTACGTACGAGGAATTTATTACGTATTTATCACAGTTCAAGGTTACCTATCACCATATCATTCATCGTATGTATTTATCACAGTTCAAGGTTACCTACCCCCACATCATTCATTGTATGTATTTATCAAAGTTCAAGGTTACCTATCCCCACATCTCTCACTATATTATGTGTATTGGATCACAGTTGAGGGTTACCGTCCAGGCCATTGCAGTCTGCAGCGGTACCTGAGCTGCCACGAGCTGGCTAACTGCACTGACGCTGCGGATGGCCACAGCTTTAACTGTGTGTGTCCAGAGGACTCAGAGGGAGACGGCTATACCAACAGCACAGGATGCATTCTCAGTGGGTTCTTGTCAATTGTGTGGTTGATCGTATGTGTGTGTGTGTGTGCGTGTGTGTGTACGCTCACGTGTGTGTGTGTGTGTGTGTGTGTGTGTGTGTGTA